GTGCCAGCAATTGACAATGATGAGCCTGCACAGCGATATCAATGGAAAGTTCTGCCACAGGGATTGCGCAATTCCCCGGTCATATGCCAATGGTATGTGGCCCGTGCCTTGTCTGGAGTTCGCAAGCAGTTTCCTGATGCACGTCTGTATCATTATATGGACGACATCTTGGTGGCTGCGTCCACTCAGGATGAGCTGCTGAGGATTCAGCCTCGGTTGCTCGATGCTTTGCATGCTCATGGGCTGCAGGTGGCTCCAGAAAAGGTTCAACAGCAACCTCCTTGGAAGTATTTGGGGGTCAAAATTCTGGAACGGACAATCCAACACCAGGAGGTGCAATTTGCACACTCGGTCAAGACACTGAATGATGTTCAAAAACTGATGGGTGTCATCACCTGGTTACGTCCATACTTGGGACTAACCGATGCACAACTGTCTCCTGTGTATGATCTGTTGAAAGGAGACTCTGATTTAAAATCACCTCGCACATTGACCCCTGAGGCACGTCAGGTGCTGGAGGAGGTTCAGCAGGCTGTTTCTGCCCGTCAGGTTTATCGCATTGATCTTTCCGTTGATGTCGCTGTGTTCGTTACCACTCCAGATTCGCATCCCACAGGTATCATTGGTCAATGGAGTGACAAATGGTCCGATCCCTTGCACATCTTGGAATGGGTTTTCCTGCCCCATCAGCCGCAGAAGACGGCAACGACATTGGCTGAGTTGATTGCTCGGTTGATAATGAAATGCCGGCAACGGTGTTTGCAATTGATGGGTGCGGATCCTGCAAAGATCATACTCCCGATATCCCGGGAGGACTTTGACTGGAGCTTTGCACACTGTGTGTCCCTGCAATGTGCTCTAGAAAATTTTTCAGGGCAGATCACTTATCATTTGCCCAGCCACAAGCTACTGCAGGTGGCAAAATCTATGCAGATCTCTTTGCGGCCCAAAAATAGTCAGGAACCTGTGCAAGGACCCACCGTCTTTACTGACGGTTCGGGGAAAACAGGAAAGGCCATTGTTACTTGGAAGGACGGATCTGAGTGGAAGGTTCTGAAAGGTCATCAGGATGGGTCGGCCCAAGTGGTTGAGTTCAGGGCCGCTGTTATGGCATTTGAGAGATTTTCCCAGGAACCTTTCAATTTGGTCACAGATTCTGCCTATGTGGCTGATATCGCACAGCGGTTGGGTCACTCAGTTTTGAAGGAGGTCAGTAACCCTGCCTTGTTTCATTTACTGAAGACCTTGTGGTGTGCTATTCAGGCCCGGGTTCATCCGTTTTACGTTCTGCATGTGAGAAGTCACACCAATTTACCAGGGTTTGTAGCAGAAGGTAACGCGAGGGCTGACAAGTTGGCTAATCCAGCGTGGGTAGCACCCCAGCCTGATACACTCGCACAGGCCAAGGCATCACATGGGTTTTTCCATCAGAATGCACATACTCTGCAGAAGCAGTTTCAGCTAAAGCCAACAGAGGCTCGTAGCATTGTTGAGTCCTGTGACGACTGCCATGCACTTGCTCCGCCTTTACCAGCAGGGGTAAACCCTAGAGGCCTTAGGGCCTTGGAGCTTTGGCAGACTGATGTCACCCAGATTGCCGAGTTTGGCCGGCTCAAGTATGTGCATGTCATGGTGGACACGTTCTCCTCTGCGATGTGGGCTTCCGCTCACACTGGAGAAAAGGCTCGTGATGTCATTGCCCACTGGAGGCAGGCCTTTGCCGTTCTGGGCATACCTTCTGCTGTGAAAAACGACAATGGTCCTGCTTATGCATCGCAGCAGGTGCGGCAGTTCCTGCAGTTGTGGGGTGTGTCACACAAGTTTGGTATCCCCCATTCTCCAACCGGCCAAGCTATTGTAGAACGCGCTCATGGTACTCTGAAGCGGGTTCTTCAAAAACAAAAACGGGGAATGCAGGGTGAGACCCCGCACAGTCGGTTGGAGAAAGCATTGTACACCATCAATCATCTTACAGTGCAGCAGAATTCAAATAACCCTGTCATTTTAAATCATCATCTCTCATTGCAAGCTGCAGACGAGGCACATCAGCCTCGAGCAAAAGTTCGAGTGCGGAATTTAGTCACTAAACAATGGGAAGGTCCCTATGACCTTATCACTTCGGGGCGCGGGTATGCTTGTGTATCCACAGATACTGGGGTACACTGGGTACCTTCAAGGTGTGTTCGTCCTGATCTGCAACCGCAGAGACAGAATCCGACAAACGGGCAACATAGAAGCCGTGACCAAACTGAAAGTCATCAAATGGATGGATCATCGAGTGATGACTCAGTTGAAGATGACGGTGGGTGATCACTCTGATGATTCCTCCACGAACAGACACTGAACCTTATTCATTTTTCCTTTTCTTTTAAACTAAAAAGGGTGAGATGTCGCCCTGATTCTTGAGTTTTCTTAAGCCTTCTGAATTTACATTCTATTGGGAAACTTTCCCACACAGTTTCTGTAAATAACGTATTGTTTTGCATTCCTCCATAGGGGTGGAGAGACTTGATGTACTAGTGCTTTGTCCAATGTCTTCGGAGAGGTGGCCCGTTCACTCTCCAATCCACTGTCACCTTTGGAGAAGTATAAAAGTTGGAGTCAGAAAATAAACGCTCTCTTTTTTTGCCTTGCAAGGTAGCAAGTGGCTCGCATTGCTTTCTCGTGTCCTATAGCGACATACAGTAAGTTATGTATTTCAAGATAAAAATCAAAATGCAAATTGGAAGAAATTTAGTACTGCATGAGGTGTGCACACAATTGATTTACCTCCAAAAGTCAGTTTACAACTTTCCTCTACCAGGATTGCAGTAGCTGCTATAGCTTGAATACACGCTGGCCAACACTGATTTACTGGATCCCACATCTTTGATGAATAAGCCACTAGTCTCTTTACTCCTCCCCACTCCTGAACCAAAACCCCATGAGCTACCCCCTTTTCTACATTCACGTACAGATGAAAGGGTTTTGCTAGTGAAAGTAAGCTTAAAGTCAGTATTGAGGCCAGTTTTAACTTCAGTTTTACAATAATTTGTGTAAAATTGCCTGTATGTATCCCTCAATCCATGATCTATAATATCCCAATAAGCTGAGTAGTTTTCTGTTTTCCCTCTTTGAAGAGAGAGGGGGAAGGGATAAAATTCCTGTGATTTGATCTGGGTTGAGCTTCTGACTACCCTTACTAATCAAATGTCTAAGACATTTTACTTTTGTTTCTACAAATTTCAAATTGATACTCTTAATACTTTTTCCCCAAGAAAATTCAAACGCTTTATAGTAGCGTCTGTAACTTCAGCTTCAGCTTCCCCAGAAAGAAAAAAATCATCCACACATTCATTCCCCCCTTATCCGCCCCATCCCAACAAATACTCACCTATCCTTTGTCCTTGGGTCTTGGTTCTTCGTGAACACTTTAGTCTTAGGGACTAACTACCATGGTTTTAGGGAATGCTTTCCCTTTTCTTTGTTTTATTTTCTCATTTTGCCCATGGATCATAACCTGTGTCTGTGGTCCCACACCAGGGGAACAGAGCGAGGCTGCCTAAATAGGGCAGGACCCTCTTCCTCACCCTGACTCTCCCAAGGCCCCGGCAGAGAGGGGTTAGAAACCATCCTTTGCTACCATAATTGTGAAAAACGCCAATCACTTGGCTTTTAAAATGTTAATAATAATAACATGGTTATTAAAATAGTAACACAATTAGAGTAATAAAAATTTAGAGTTAGGACAATTAAAGACAATAAAAAGCAAAGACTTAAGGATGTCTGGATGCTCTTGGGAACTTAAGCCACAACAAGCATACCTTGTGAACAAAGGAATCACCCTTAAAATTACACTATTGCATATTCATATATCCTTCATGCGTATGCATACATTCTATTTAAACCAAGAAACTCTGTCTTTTATATGCCAACTGTTTCCTTTAATCCCCATGGCGCCTTCGAATCTGAGCAAGGGGTGAATAAATTAGCTTCTTCTGATAAGAAAACCATAAATTCCTCTTCTCTGGAAGACTTAGGTGTTTTGTGATGGTTATGTCAAAGCGAGTATCTCATGCCTTAAAAGAAAACCCATATACATAGTTTCTATTTTAACTACTAAAGCTTCATTTTAACTACAAAACTACATTTACGATACTATTAAAATGTTAATACAGCACTATTAATCAAAGTAACATTTATGCATTTTTCACTGTGGGCGTCTCCTGGAGTGTCCCCGGAAAGGGACCATCTATGCACGGAGCCACATTTTTTCATTTGTAAATTACGTCTTTCTTTCTCTGCCCGCTGTGGTTTCCTATCTTTCCTCGCTGCAACTTCAGGTCTTTTAAAACTGAAAGAATCTTTTTCTACAAGCACAACTGACTTCATGTACATTTTACATAAGCACGAATTATTCCATACCATATATTACAATGGGGCTGCAGAGATCCCCCTGCAGGTCCATGGGGATGCAGAGATCCCCCTGCAGGTCCATGGGGATGCAGAGATCCCCCTGCGGGTCCGTGGGGATGCAGAGATCCCCCTGCGTGTCCATGGGGATGCAGAGATCCCCCTGCAGCTCCGTGGGGATGCAGAGATCCCCCTGCAGGTCCGTGGGGCTGCAGAGATGCCCCTGCAGGTCCATGGGGATGCAGAGATCCCCCTGCAGCCCCTGGAGGAGCCAGGCTGGAGCTCGGGGATGCCTGAGAGGAGCTGTGACCCCGCGGGCAGAGGGGCCCCGCTGGAGCAGCCTGGCCTGGCAGGACCGAGCCCGTGGCACAGTGACCCACGCTGCAGCACTTGGAGGGGGCTGTGCCCCAGGGGATGGACTCGGCTCGGAGAAGTTCCTGGAGAAGTCTCGGCTGGGAGAGAGCGCAGGGTGCAGCAGGGAACGACTCCTGTCCCTGAGCAGAGGGAGAAGCCGCGGGGGATGAGCTGAGCACGGCCCCATTCCCTGTCTCCTGCCCTGCCGGGGGAGGAGGTGCAGCTGGGAGCAGGGAGCCGTGGGGAAAGCTGCATTTAAGGTTCTGCACTGACTTCTCCTCATCCTGCTCTGAGTCTTTGGAGTTTTCTGCCAGAAATCTCTCCCCTCCCCCGCTCCCCCACAGGGCTTTGGGCAGGTTTCCCTTTTTGGGGGAAATCAAAGCGAAGCAGCGATGCACTAATGAGGGGCAGGAGAAGTGAGGCTCCCGGGCTTCCCGCAGAGCCGGAGGCACGGAAGGCGCAGGGCCGGGAAAGCCGTGGCGGGAGGTGCGGAGAAGTTTGTTTGTGTGGGCAGCTCAATCCCGCCTCGGGCCCGGGCCCGTCCCGGGGCTGTTGCTCATCTCCGGCTTTGCCCTCACGCAGCGCGGGGGGCCCTGAGAGCGCGGGGCGAGTCTGGGCCGTGCGCAGAGCCCGCCCCCAGCTCGCTGCCATTGGCCGCTGGTGCCGTCAGTCGCGGTTGCGGCGCGCTGATTGGTGGGAGCGGGACGCAGCACGGCCCCGGCGGCGGGCTGAGGGCGGCCGTGGGCGGGCAGCGGCGCCATTGGCGCCAGGAGCGTCTGTGCGGGCCCGGGAGCGGCGGCAGCGGCCGGAGCGCGGTGAGGCGGCGTCGGCGGAGCTCGGAGGCGGCCCCGGTGCAGGTGGGAGCCGCGCTGGGTTCTGCGGGGGCTCGGGGCTGGCTGCGGGCGGAGGGGGCGGCAGGGGGCTGCGGCGGGTCGGTGGTGCCGTGTCCGGGCCGTGCTGGCCCCGGGCTGAGGGCGCGGCGGGAGCGGCTGCCCGCGGTCTCCTTCCCGCCGGGGCCTGGGCAGGAGCCGCTGCCGGAGCAGCGCTGGCTCGGCCCGGCTGCTGTGGGTAGGACCGAGGGGGCTGCCCCGCGGCCGGGAGCGGGCGGGGAAATTCCCGTCGCCGGAGGTTTCTGTGGCCGGAGGAGAGCGAGGAGTCCTGTAAAAGTGACTTTATTGCTGAGCAGGGGGAGAGGCCGTTGGGCATTTGCCGTGCGCTCTCTGCCATGGTTGTAGTCCGCAGCCTCCTTTTTATCCTCATTTCCCCGGCCGCATCTCCCTCTGCCTTTGCCCACTGGCTGAGGTCCTTGGAAGGTTCAGACTTCCCGATGCGCCTGCTGCCTGTCCTCGTTAATATGCACCCTCCTTTTGTATAACAGCCGATATTCATGGCTCTGTTAAGTCTTTGTTCTTCTCCTCGAAGTTCAGGAATGTAGCGGGACTTTGAGGAGCTCTCTGGGTCAATTTGTGACATTTATTGGAACTGATGGTTTCTCCCAGTTACTTCCTTAACTACAAGTGCCTGGCCCTATCTCCAGGCAGATTCACTCCTTGACTCTGTTTTGTTCTTCCCGGGTCCTCTTTGGTTTTGGGATTATTCTCGGTGCCCTCATTCCCTGTCCTTTTGTAGGCGTTTGTGGATCAGGAGGCCTGGCTGCCACCTGCATCCCCTGGCTCAGCTGCTGGATGAGCTGCACTGCCAAGGTGTGGAGCATGGTAAAAAGATGAGAGTTGCTGCAGCACAGAAGAGGAGAAGCAGCATTCGTGTAACCCCTGGTGTGCCGGGGAGCCACGAATGTGTGTCCCATTCCCATCCTTTCTATGTGTGGACCAATACATAAAAGCTCTCCTATTTCCTTTCTCATCTTTTTCAGCACTTTCCTTTGTCATCTCTTTGCAAACAGCAGTTTGAGTCATTTAGTTTTCCACAAACTCCTCCTTTTTCTGCTCACAGATAATCTGACCCCATCCCCTGGTGAAATGCTCCGTTCCTCATTTCAGTGGATTGGTCGGCAGGAAGGTCAGGAGCTGGAGCTGTCTGGTTGGTTCTTATTCCGAGGACAGCTTGTAATCTAATGATGCCATTGAAATGATAAATGGGTTCTCTCTTTCCTGATATGAATTGGTTTGGGTTCCCAGGGGCTGGTCCATGGTGTTGTAGGATTTGTTCTGGTGGTCCTTCATCTTTTCCCCATTTTTGGGTGCTGCCTGCAGCCGGGGCTGCATCAATTGACCGCTTTTTTCTAATTACATTATCAAATACTTGAATTCCAACTGATCTCCCTGAACTTGTTCTAGCAAAAGCCCCAGTGCTCTGATACACCCTGTACAGCACAGACAGTGACAGCAGATGTTGGAGTGGGCAGAGGGATGATCCCCCCGTTATTTTAGTGAAGTTTTCACAACATTCTCCATTTGCTGTTTCCGTTTGCAGCTTTACCCATTTCTGTTGCAGAGACAGAGATCCTCACCATGGGCTCTGCCTTCAGCTGTGCAGATTCCATCTGTGCAAGCTGGCAGAGCTTGGGGTGAGGGGCAGAGGGAATCAGCCAATTCCTGACCCAGGCAAGAAGAGCCAGGTACATTGTCCCCACTCTGCCCCAGCAGTGTTAATTTGAATTGCTGAAGATCCTCCCCTGGGTGCCTGGAATGGAGCTTCTCTTCCAGAGCAGCCTTCAGCAGCCTCACATGTGGCCCTTCCACAACCTGCTGCTTTTTCTCTTTTTTTTCCTTCAAATCATCTATTTACTGTTTTTGAGTTAAAGGATCACTTTTAAATCTCTTCCAGCTTTACAAAATGTTGCCTAAAGGTGAATGTTGAAAAACCCAGACTAAAATTTTGGTATCTCTAAGAGCCACACACCAACATACACAAAAAAATTCCTAGGCAATTAAGTTTTTTCTCCTTCTCCTCGTTGTAAAAATTCATTTTCTCATCCCTGACCCAAACCTAACCGGCAATATAGAAGTAGGAGTTATAGAAAAAGTACACTAATGCTCTAAACTTTGCACTGAAACTGCAGGAAAAAGCAAAACTCCACCAGTATGTTTAGTGTTGGAGTCAAGGCATTCCTTGATTCTGGCCAGGATCTGCAACAGAAATCCTTCCATCCCCACATAGCCCAGGTGTGCAGCAGAAAAAATCATTCCATGACATGTGGGTTTTACTCGATTTCCTCAAACTTGATGCAGTCTGAAGCAATCTAAATGCATTGGTTTAATGTTCTATTGTTTCAAGTTGTGCAGTTCTTAGTATCTGGTTTCCTATTGGACCCAGATTTCTTTGTTTCTGCTGTTAATTAGGTGGGAAGTGCTGGATTTCCTTCTCAGCCTTTTGCAGACCAGGTGTCTGTAGCCCTGGCAGTGTCTGTGGTAGGTGTTGGTCGCTGTTGCTGCTGGGGTTGATGTTTTGCTGCTGGTCATTATCTTTGTGGGTATCTCTGTGTGTTGAGGTGTTAAATTCATCTCCATGGAGTGGTGCAACATCCCTTAACAAAACCATTAACATTTCTTTCCCCAGGGCCAAGACAAACCAAGCCAGAGTAGAGAAATCAAAGGTTAACAATGTTAAAGTCTATGAGCTGGTCTATTTTCCATCAATGCCATGGCAGGCAGGGCAGTGTGTGAGTGTAAGTGAGAGCCAGAGTGGAATTGTCCCGTGCTCTTGCCCAGCAGCTGTGGCAGGGCAGGCCCAGAGAGCCCTGAAGCTGCAGCAGTGGCAGCAAGGGCTGTCCCCGGTGCTGGAGCTGCCAAAGGAGGGTGGCCAGGCCGAGGATTTCAGCAGAGGATGTGTGGGCAGCCCCAGGGCCTTGCCCCGCTGTGGAGCCCTGGCTGCTGCTGCGCTGCCTTCAGTGCAGCTCAGTGGGGGCCTCCCATCCTCCTGCTGCAGGCGGGAAGTGCAAATCTCCGGGGCTGCAGAGACCTGGAGCCGAGGCTGAGGGGCCCCCCCGTGCTCAGCTGTGCTGGCGGCTGTTTCTGGCCTCGGGGCCACTTGGCACGGACCACGCCACTTGGCCACCAGTGGTGCTGCTCTGCACTCCTTAGGCAGGAGCCGATGTCCTGCTGGGATGTTGGCAACAGCAAAGTGCCAAGGCAGGCTCTGTGCCAGCCCAGCTTCCTGGGGGAGAGATTGCACCAGAGACAGGATTCTGGCCACAAACTGCTTTAAATGTGCATCCCTTATCTGCACCCTGCACTAGGTGGAGAATTCCCAGGGTAAGGAATTCCCAAGGTCAATTCCAAGGGGAAATGATTGAAAATCTGCCCTAGGTCTGACTCTTCTTCTTGCCCAAGCCAATGGCAAAAGCCATGGCGTGTTGGTTTCTATCCCCAGCTTCCAGAAGTGTTTCTTTCTTTCCCCATTCATTCTTTGTACCCAGCCTGAGCTCTGGGGGTGCCAGGGGTTATGGAGGTCCCATTGTATTCCTAAAGCTGCCATAACCCCCTGGAGGATCTTTCCTGTAAAATGAGTTCTGCTGTCTGAGTCTGTTGCTTCCACAATCCTTTTTATATGAATTACTTTTTTAGAGGTACCCTAATAAGTGATCTAGTGGCTGCTGAGCAATCAGAATTGCTTTTGCTCCCCTGTTAGGTGAGATGGTGTCACCAGAAGATATTGAAGCCTTCCTGCTCAGGGCATTTCAGTGCCCGGCTCTTACAAGCACACACAGCTGTGCTGGTTGAGCTGACCATGGCGGGTAACCTGCGCTTTGTCTGATTCCCTTTCCTCAATAACAGCGTGTCTTGGAACTCTTTTCCCTTCTGCTGCCCTTGAAGAGCCATCCACAAAGACATTTTCTGCCTCAGGCCAGGCAATGTCTCCTGAATCTCTCCCAGGCTGGGGCTGGGTCTGGAGCTGTGTCACTTGAATGCAGTGCTGGGTTTCTTCCCAGCCCCTCTGGGGGCTGTTCAAACAGGAGGCTGGGTTAAACCCTTCCCCTATCCTCAGTTCTGAATCCTCCTGTGCCACTGAACAAGTTTCATGCTGTAATAACCGAGCACTGCTCATTCATTGCGAGGCTCTTTTGGTTATCAAAGCTTGAACTTGATGGCAGACTGGAACAGTTGGAGATCCTGTTGTCATCAGGTTTTGGGCCTCGGTTCCCGTTGAAGCTGTGGCTGCACAATTCTGCAGACAATGAGGTCACTGTGGCCACTGGGTGAAACATTTTGGCCCAAGAATTCCTTTGTCATAGCCCTGTTTAACATTCACCTACAATTCCAATTTCTTTTCTGAGTCTGGAAGAGCCAGAGCTGAGGAATCAATAGTTTTGGCTTTTCATTTTCTCAAGTTTTGCTCTCTTTCTCCTGTCCATACCACAACATGGAGGCTGTCTGGGGTTAAAAAGTCCTACATTGTTCTGGCTGGAACAGAGAATCCTCAATCCAGACTGTTTAATTCCATATTAAACTTCAGAACTGTCTCAGCTCCTTTTTGGTCGTGGGTAATGTTTCTTCTGAGATTGCCCCGAGGCTCTCTGGGTCAATCCACCACAAACCTTCAGTCAAAATATGTCTCAAGTATTAAACCTTTTTCTCCACCATTTGCACTTTTTTTCAAATACTCAAAAGATGATTTTTAGCGTGAAAATTCAGCCATTTCACAGGGTCTTTGTCTACCACTTCTTCTTCCCCTCCTCATTGGAGCCATCTGATTCCCTGAGTGGCAGGATAGGAGTGCTGTAGGGAGACATCCCTGGCTCCAAAAGCCCTGCCTTTAGCAGGGACTCCATACCAGGCTGTGAGCCCTTCCTTCCCTCCCCTGGAACAGGGTGTTGCTTTTAGACATCACTTGTCCTGGTTGCTTCCAAGTAGTTTGGGGAGGCTCCACATCAAATTTTCCCTCTTTCCCTGGGGCTGCCCACACCTCTGGATTCCCTTCAGCATAGTCCTTTCCAGACATTTGACACAAAGGTGCAGCAGCAATAGCCTCTGTTTCACCTTTTACAATATTACAATGCCACCATCAAATGCCTTCCTAGATATATACAATCAGAGTAGGAAGAAAAATAAATTAGTTTATTTCACACCTATCCCCCACAGCTCCTAATAGTGATTGTACAAATGATACCAGCTCAGCTTTCCCATTTATTCCCTTAATAATGAAAACACTCCTTTACAATTTTCCCCCCTTAGGTGTAAGATTCAGAGTGGATGGAGAGGCCCTTGTGTCCAACAGGAGAGGCCTCCTCTGGATGCAGACCCAGCCTGGATGTTCTCCAGGGCTGCAGTGTGGTGGGTCAGAGAAACCCCTGACATCCTGACCTCCTGCTTTTCCTCTCCTGGAAACCGGGCATGGAAAGGATCTGGATCAGCTGGCAAATTGTAAGGATAAAGCAGTGCTGAAAAACAAACCAATCCTGAGTATTTTTCTCTTCCTCCTCTTTGCTGTCATACTTTTTCTTACCACAGAGATTCCTCCTGCTGCTTCTTGCCTGAACCATATTGCTGCACACTCCCCTTCCCCCAATCCCTTCCCAGCATACGAACACCATCCGTCCCCTGTTGTCCAAATCCCTTCTCCACTTCCCTTATTGCCCCCCTGGGTGTCCATGTCCTTAATTACCTCTGGGGGAATGTGCAAACCACCTCAGCATTCTCCCAAGGGACCCTTTAGAGACATTTTTAGGTCATCATCCCTTTGGCCAGGAGCCCTCCCTGGCTTTCCCTTTTCTCCCCTCCATGCGTGCCCTACCATGTTCACTCCCCGAAGATCCCAGGGCACTCACTGATGAGATTTTCAGTGCTCTCTCCCTGCTGACTCTTCACAGACCCCCCTGATGTGTCTCTCGTCTGTCTCCTGATCACTCCCGGGTCCCCAATCAATCCCCGGTGCTGCTGCCAGCCAAGGGAGCCGATCACCCAAAGTGGGTGAGGCACCTTCAGCTGCACTCCCTGCCCCAGGGTGTGCGGAAAAATTGACATCACCAGAGGATTCTGTCCACAAAGCAGACAGAGGAGTCCTGTAAAAAGTAATTTCATTCCTAAAAATGGGAGAGGCCATGGGACATTCCCCATGGGATCTCTGCAAATGTTGGAGGACACAGCCTCCTTTTCATCCTAATTCTCCTGGCCACATCTCCCTCTGCTTTCCCCATTGGCTGAAGTACTTGAGCGCTACAGGCTTCCCAGTCCACCTACTACATACCCCCTTCATATGCTCCCCACTTTTGTATAGCAAACGATATTCATGGCTCTGTTAAGTCTTCGTTGTTCTTCTGGAAGTTCATGAATTGAGCAGGAACTTGGCTGAGCAGCTGTCTGTGTCATCAACTGATAACATTTTCTGAAACCAATGGCTTCTCCTGTCACTTCCTTATGTACAGCTCCCTGGCCCTATCTCCAAGCAGATTCAGAGCATCTGTTTGTAAAGACACTTTGCTCTTGTTCCTTTCATGGGGGTCCCCTGTTTGTGGGACATGCCCCCTGGAGCAGGGTGTCCCCTCTTTGCTGCAGCCGCAGCCCTCAGGCAGAGCTCAGCCAATCAGAGCCTGCGGCGCTGATGACTCACCAGTTGCCAGGCAGACTCGCAGCTCCCCGCATTCCCCACCTGGACCCCACCTGCGCCCCCCCCCTTGGCCCCATCGCCCCCGCGAGGGGAATTTGGGGAGGTGGGAGTGGGGCAGCACCAAGGCCGGGCCCCCCCGCGCTGTCCTGGCGGGAGCGGCTGCAGTGGGGACCGAGTGAGGGCGGGGCGGCCGAGAGCCCAGCGCTGCCCCAGCCCGACCTGCCCCAGCTCCATCCCTGCCCCTCGGCTGGGATGCTGTGGGTCTGGGGGGAAGAGGGAGCCGGCAGTGGGTGCTGGGCCTGGGGGCAGGAGGAGAAGGGAAGGAGAAGCAGGCTTGAGGAACAAAATGGTCAGACGATGCAGGTGGCAGGAGAAGGTGGGATTGTGCAGGAGAAGGAGGAAGCAGGAGGAAGAGGAGTGTGAGGAAGAGGATAGACACAGGAGGAGGAGCAGAAAGAGGAAGCAGCAGAAGGTTCCACCCCTCCCTGTATCTGCAGCCTCCCCCCAGCCCCAGGAGCGTTGCTCCCCCCACATGCAGCAGGTGCCGGTGCCGGGGGGATCTACGATTTTCACTGAGTGAATCTTGGTGTTTCTGAGCTTTCTTGGGCTACATGTTGGTGCTTTTGTTTTATGTGGCAGATGAATCTTTATGTTTTGGAGGAGGTTTTTGCTGACTTGTGATGTTTGGGGAGATTTTGATCTGTGTCTTGAAGTTTGTGGGATTTTTGGGCTAAATCTTGGTGTTTTGGAGGTTCTTACAGACACAAGATTCCCAGTGACTTCCTGTGATGAACTTGGGCAAGGAGGAACCTCCAGTCCAAGGTGGTCTCCTCTTGTTTTTTTTTCCCCAAACCAGGATTTTTCATTCCCTGGGCGTATCTGGATGGAGGAGGAGGAAAAGCCCCAGAAATGCTACAGGAGGAGGAGCTGCAAACCCAGCCCAGGGAGCTGCGGGGAGGAAAGAGCCGCCTGAGCCAGGAAGGCGGGCGGAGATCCAGCTGGAGCTCGGAGCTGGTGGAGAAGCCTCATGGCGGGGAGAAGCCCCACAAGTGCTTGGAATGTGGGCAGGGTTTTAGCCGGAGCTCCACCCTGATCCAGCACCAGAGGATCCCCACTGGGGAACGGCCCTATGAGTGTGGGGAGTGTGGGAAGAGGTTTCGGACCAGCTCCCATCTCCTCAGACATGAGCGGAGTCACACAGAGGAGAGGCCCTTCCTCTGCCCCAATTGCGGGAAGGCCTTCAAGCACAACTCCAACCTCACCGAGCACCGGCGCATCCACACTGGGGAGAGGCCCTACGAGTGTGGGAAGTGTGGGAAGGGTTTCAGACGCAGGTCTGGCCTGATCGAACACTTGGTGATCCACACTGGGGAACGGCCCTATGAGTGCTTGGAATGTGGGAAGAGCTTTGGGTGCAGCTCACACCTGAGAACACACCAGCGCATCCACACAGGGGAGAAGCCCTACGAGTGTCCCCAGTGTGGGAAGAGGTTTCAGACCAGCTCCAGTGTCCTACTACATGAGCGGATTCACACAGAGGAGAGGCCCTTCCGCTGCCCCGACTGCGGGAAGGGCTTCAACCGCAACTTCAGCCTCACTGAGCACCGGCGCATCCACACTGGGGAGAGGCCCTACGAGTGTGGGAAGTGTGGGAAGAGCTTCTCCACAAGCTCAGCCCTGACCCAGCACCAACGGAGGCACCACTAAGAGAAGCTCTGTGAGTGCCCCGAGTGAGGGAAGAAGCTTGGAGTGAGGGAAGAGCTTGGAGTGAGGGAAGAGAGTGAGGGAAGAGCTTGGAGTGAGGGAAGAGAGTGAGGGAAGAGCTTGGTGCGCTGCTGCTGCTCCATCCCCCATGGGAGAATCCAGGCTGGATGATCCCCAGTGATGCCTGTTGGGCAGAGCCCTGCTGATCCGTGGTCCTGGTGATCCATGCTGGGTGTGGGGAAGGTGTTGGCTTCTTCTCCTTGTGCTGCTGTGATTTGGGTGGGTTCCCATGGATGGGGGATGGGAGGTAAGTGGGGGGTCCTGGCACACTGCAGGGGGCTCATGGCTTGGGGCGTCCCAGCGCTTTGGGGGGGATCAGTGAAGGGGGGAAGCAGTGAATGGGGGATTCCCGTTAAATTGGGGGGGGACCCTGATGATAACAGTGGGCCCTGGGAGATAACGGGGGGTGAAAGGACTAAACCCTAATGGACTCCCCTGGTGCTGGTGAACCGCCCGTGCCCCAGCAGCGCTTGGTGTCCCCCCCAGTCCCAGCACTGTTCCTGGGGGTCCTGCAGCTCTGGGGGGGGTCAAAGGGGAGGGGATGGAACCTCCGTCATGGATGGGGGCACAAAGGGGAGTCCGGGCTCAGTGCGCGAGGGGGGTCGGTGCATGAGGGGGGCCCGGTCCCTGTCCCGGTGCACGGGGGTGGCGCTGCCTGGGGGTCCCGGTGCTCGGGGGGTTCCCAGGGTTCGAGGGGGGTTCGGTCCCTATCCCGGTGCTTGGTGGGGGGGGGGCCGTGCCCGGGGGGCTCCCACTGCTCGGTAATTGGGGGGTGTCAGAATCCAGGACATCCCTCTGGCTGCCCTGGATGACTCAAGACCCTGGCAGGGGGCTTGGAGACCTTGGCATGGTGACAAGAACACCAGTGGATTTGGTTTTAGCCCCTGGAGAAAATTGCTAACTTTGTATAAGGAATTACAAGGCACAAGGGTTTGAGTAGCGTGGTAGGTGAATTAACACAAGGTGGAAAAGTAGAATTTTAACATTTTATAATACGGGTTCAAGGGAACAAGATGGAGGGATTTGGACGTCTCCTGACCTTCTTCTCCTTGTTCTTACCCTCCATGTCTTGCTGCGATGGTGACACTTTTCTATTGGTTGAAGGTAGAGACACACTGTCCAACATAAATGATAGATATTGGCACGTTATTGTAAACACAGTACAGGTAGTTTTTAGTGTAGAAGGCAAACAGCGCCCTGAGGGCAGGGAGACTGCCACAGACCGACCTGCTAGACAGAGCTCAGCAGAGCGGACAAAGCGTGTTAGAGAAAAGGGAAAATAAACAGCCCTGAGAAGCAAAGCTCCGCATCTCGACTCCTTCTCTGTCCACGCGGGCTGGGAGAAAAGGACTTTTCGCAATCTCGGGGTCATCTCGACCACCAGAAAACCGAGAGGGGGTCTCCACTCGTCCCAGTGTATGGTGGGGGGGGGGGGGGCGGTGCTCGAGGGGGGGTGGGGGCACTGAAGGGGGTGCGGGTGTGGTTTTTAGGGGGTCCTGGCACCCCCCGGGGCAGGGTCAGTGCTCAGCAGCGGGGGCTGCCTGGGGACCCCCCCGGCCCCCAAATCACAGCCGGGTCTCCTGCAAGGCACTGAGGGGAGGTTCGTTCACCCCCCGCCCCCACCAGCGTCGCCACACGCCTTCCCAAAGTGTCCCCAAGTGCTCCCAAAGTGCCCTCAGAATGTCCCCAAGTCTCTGCCGAGGTGACACCGGCTTGATGATGGCCCAGTGGTGATGTTGCTCTGTGCACAGCAGCCTCGGGAGGTCCTCCATGGCTCTTTGGCACAGCTCAGCCGCTGCACAGCCACCATGGCCAGGAGAGGGACAGAAGAAGAGGGTGTTGATGTCCCCAAGTGTCCCCAGCAGGTGACACGTGGCCAGGCGGGCACTGGCCTCCCACAGCTGCTCAGCCTCGGCCACTGTGGCCACCAAGGCCGCATGGAAATCGGGGGACACCTCCATTGTCCCCTCCAGGGCAGCCTCGATGTCCCTGAGCCGGCGCTGCAGCTCCCAGAGGAACGCGGTGGCTTCATCACACACGGCCACCAAGTCCCCCAGCAGCCCCAGGTACAGCTCCAGCCGCTGTCCCCTCCTGATGGCCGCATCCGCAGCTGTCCCCTCCTGGTGGCCGCATCCGCAGCTGTCCCCTCCAGGGTGGCCGCATCCCTGCAGGCGTCGCGGAGCTCGGTGGCCGCCTTGGCCAGCCGGGCCCAGCTGTCCATGAGCCTGTCCAGCACACGCCTGGCGCTGGCCAGGGCTCTCACACAGGCCCAGGTGGTCCCTGGGGTGTCCCCGAGGTTGGCCAGGGTCCCACCCAGGGAGGGGACAGGGCGGTGGCCCAGGGAGGGGACACGGTAGTGGCGCAGGGCGTACTGGAGGTGAAAGATCAAGGTCCCTGTGCAGCCTGGCCACGGTGGCCATCAGTTCTCTCAGGGTCGCCACCAGCTCGCCCAGTGTGGCCACCACGGCCACCATCGCCTCCTGCAGCTGGTGGGGGGGACAGCTGAGGAGGGGACAGGGGAGGTGTCAGGGGCCTAGTGGCCCCTGTGCCCTCCTGGGTTCCCGTTTGTCCCCTCCCTGGAGGGCTCTGCTGTCCCCTCTGTCCCTTTTGTCACCCCCTCGTCCCCCACTGTCCCCCCCTGTTCCCTCCTGCCACCCTCGGTCCCCTCCAGCCCTCTGCCCCCCCGTGTCTCCCCTGTCCCCTCCTGCCACCCCTCTTTCCCGTCTGCCATCCCCATGTCCCCCCAGTCCCCTCCCACCCCCCCCGCCGGGACTGTCGCACCTCGTGGGGCTCCATGGCCGCTGGGGACACTCCGGGGAGGGGACACGGCCGGGGACAGTTGGGGACACGCGGGAACGCGGCACGGCCGGAGAGGGGAAACAAGAAGAGGTGATGTCATCGCCCCGGCCCCACCCCACCTTTGGCCGCTTTTGGGGAGTCCTGAGGAGATTTTGGGGAGGTCCTAGGTGAGCTTTGGGGGGTCCCAGGTGAGGTTTGGCGGGTCCCAGTTGAGAATTCCCAAGAATTTGGGGTTTCCCACCTGCCCAGGTGAGGTCTGGGGATCCCAGGAGAGTTTTGAGATCTCAGGTGAAAGTTTGGGGGGTTCCAGGTGAGGTTTGGGGGTCCTAAGTGAGGTTTGCGGGGTCCTGAGGAGATTTTTGAGGGGTGCAGGTGAGCTTTAGGGGGTCCCAGGTGAGAATTCCCAAAGATTTGGGGGTTGCCAGGTGAAAACAGCTCGGGGGGGCCGAGGAGGGAGGGGCTGGGGAGGTTTCGGGATGTGTCCCCTGGGTGGGGGAGGGGCGGTGAGGGAGGGTCCGGGGGAATTTGGGGGCTTGGGAGCGGCAGGATGAACACCCAGACACTGACCACGCCCCCTTCCAGGCCCCGCCCTGTGCTTTAGCCCCTCCCCTTGTTCTGGACACGCCCATCAAGCGCCCCGCCCCCTCAGACCCCACCCCTCCCAGTTCCCAGCTCCGGGTTCTGGCCCCGCCCCCTCCTGAAGCCCCACCCCAAAAGAGCCTTGGCTCTTCCCCGGTTAGATTTTTATCAATGGAAACCAAAAATCGCCACAAATCAACTTAAAAATTCAAACCCAGGGGAGTGGGGGAGCAGGACCACCCCTGTGATGTCATGGGGGAGGGGCCAGGTGGGATTCTGGGGGGTTCCAGGTGGGCTTTGGGGGGGTCCAAATGAGTTTGGGGGGGTCCCAGGTGTTCCTGGGTGGGTCCAAGTGGGTTTTGGGGGAGTCCTGGTGGGTTTTGGGGGTCCCAGGTGGTTTTTAGGGGGGTCCAAGTGAGTTTGGGGAGTCCAGGTGGCTTTAGGGGGGGATCCAGGTGAGTTTTGGGGGGGTCCAAGTGAGTTCTGGGCATCCCAGTGAGTTTGGGGGGCAAGTCCAGCTGTCCCTGGGTGGGTCCAGGTGATCCTGGGAGGGTCCAAGTGGATTTTTGTGGGACCCTGGTGGGTTTTGTGTGGGTCCAGGTGAGTTTTGAATGGGTCCAGGTGGTTTTTGGTTGGGCCCAGATGGTTTTTGGGGGGATCCAGGTGTCCTTGAGGGAGGTTCAGGTGTCCCAGGGGTGATCCAGGTGTTCCTGGGGGCTCCCACTGTGTTCAGGAGGCATCCAGGTGTTCCTGGAGGGGTCTCAGGCGTCTCAGGGGCAGTTCCAGGTGTTCCTCCATGGGTCCAGGTGTTTTTTGGGGGGATCCCGGTGTCCTAGGGGGATCCAGGTGTCATTGGGGAGGTTCCAAGTTGGTTTTGAGGAGGTCCAGGTGTCCTGGGGAGATCCAGGTGTGTCTGGCGGGGTGCCGGTGCCCAGGTGTGCAGGAACCCCAACATCTGGGCAGGCTGGGACTCAGGAATGAGAGATTCAGGTGTGAGAGATCCAGGTGTAGGGGTGTCCTAGCTTAGGGCAAATTTGGGAGAAAACCTCTGGAAGGAGCCCCCAGAAAACAAACCCCTATGGCCCCTCCCCACCCACCTGGTTCAGAAATAATTTTCTCTGAGAGAAGTGGAAAAGAACCTGTTTATTTAATAAACAAAACACTCCCCAGCACCAAAAAGTGAACAACACCAGATGACAGAAAAACTTTTTCACCACTCTGAAGAGATGACAAATCCAGAAAGTCTCTCCTGGGACTGGTCGCCCGGGTCTGGGCGCTGGGGATTGCTCTGGGCACTGGGGTGGCTGCTGCAGATCACAGAGCGCAGGCTCTCGGTGTTCCCTGGTGTTTCCCAGGTCCCAGTCCAGAACAGGTTGGAGTGATATTCAGGAAAGGGAAAGGAAAAAAAAACAGCCCAGGGAAAAATTGGACTGCCTAGTTAAACTAACTAACAGGCAAAAGCAAAGGCAAAAGCAGGAGCAAGAGCAAGCAAGCAAAGCAAACAAGCAAACAAAGCCAGCAAAAGCAAGCCAAGCCAGCCAGCACTAGCCTCTTCTATCCAACAGACCATGGGGGAAGGTGAGCCGGCTGATAACAAGGCAAAACAAACCTTCACTTTCAGAGTCA